CCATACAATGTTTGTAATCTCTTTGGTGTGTCATGACTTGTATTTTGTGACACTATATAAAGTTCATGTCAATGAAAATTAGATGGTTAAGAAAATAAATGAATAGAGAAACAGTAGTCAGGAATAAAAGGCTTATAACCTTTGCATCTTGAATGCTCTTTTGTAGATATAATTGGCCATTCCTCTCTTTGACAGTCCGTAAATCGATAATGATGATCGCCATTTTCCAAACCTGGTTTTCTACCTCCAAGTTATTCACAAATATTTGAGGCCTTGACATCTAACATTGAGATGGTAAAGAACATAGTTAAGTAACATTGTGAAAACACAAGCAACAAAAGTAAGTGAAAGAAAAACTATGAAATCTGTAAACACCCTTTGAAATGCATTTGTAAACACCTTTATAAATGCATTTGTAAACACCATTGTAGAAATACATAGAACATGTTGAACACATATTGCCAGTGGTTGTAAACTCCATTTTAAATGCATTTGACCAACATTCAATAAAGACAACACAAAAGCATTGTGAAAATACACACAAAGCAAACCAATCAACAATCTACGTGTTCTTTATCAAAGCAAATACAAAGCAACTATTTTTGTAATGTTTAAATAAAGGCATAGAACATAAGGGATAGAAGCCATAAACACCATTGGTTTGATACATCATTTTAAGGTGAAAATACAAGTTATAGAAGAACATAGTAAAAACACAAGTTACTTACTTCAAAACTAAAAGGGAATACATAGTTTACAAACAGAACACATATGAAACATAATCCATAAATAACAGGCCTTTACAAATGATGATACAGAAAAAAATCCTTTTGGAATTTGATAACAGAAGAAATGAAATGATGTGATGATGATGATAAAGTTGAATAAAAAAATGAAGCGAAATCAAAAATCGAAGCCGCATCGTTACAGGTGACGTTACCGATGAATATCGACATTACCTTGTAGATGGCGAGGATTATGATGAAATATGACTTGTAGAATGTGACGAAAATGACACTTGTAATACCTGAAATAAGCGATTAACATAAATGATATGAGGTTGAGTGGTTAATAAAAAAGGCGATAGACAGAAATGAAGAGTATGCGAAGAAGAAAATTTGAAACAATAAGAAGATAAGGTAATGGTTAACAAACTTTGGGAAGAAGACAAAGTTTAGTGGATTCAATGTTCTTGAGGTTAAGTGAAGTTAGCAAAAAGACTGAGGATGAAAATGTTTTTGTATGCGTGTGTGTGTGTGTGTGTGTGTGTGTGTGTGTGTGTGTGTGTGTGTGTGTGTGTGTGTGTGTGTGTGTGTGTGTGTGTGTGTGTGTGTGTGTGTGTGTGTGTGTGTGTGTGTGTGTGTGTGTGTGTGTGTGTGTGTGTGTGTGTGTGTGTGTGTGTGTGTGTGTGTGTGTGTGTGTGTGTGTGTGTGTGTGTGTGTGTGTGTGTGTGTGTGTGTGTGTGTGTGTGTGTGTGTGTGTGTGTGTGTGTGTGTGTGTGTGTGTGTGTGTGTGTGTGTGTGTGTGTGTGTGTGTGTGTGTGTGTGTGTGTGTGTGTGTGTGTGTGTGTGTGTGTGTGTGTGTGTGTGTGTGTGTGTGTGTGTGTGTGTGTGTGTGTGTGTGTGTGTGTGTGTGTGTGTGTGTGTGTGTGTGTGTGTGTGTGTGTGTGTGTGTGTGTGTGTGTGTGTGTGTGTGTGTGTGTGTGTGTGTGTGTGTGTGTGTGTGTGTGTGTGTGTGTGTGTGTGTGTGTGTGTGTGTGTGTGTGTGTGTGTGTGTGTGTGTGTGTGTGTGTGTGTGTGTGTGTGTGTGTGTGAGAGAGAGAGAGAGAGAGAGAGAGAGAGTGTGTGTGTGTGTATTGTGAGTGCATTCTTGTATCAAGCCTTATTTTAATTGATGTCAAAACTAGGAGTGTGACTTAGCATTTTTTTCTATATTGGGCGGTATCAACCAAAGTCTAGATATGCATTGAATCATTTTAGACTTAGGATGAATACAAATGTTTTTAAAAAGGATTGAAAATCCTTAGGCATGCCATATACATCAAAAATCAACTTTCATGTGTGAACATAATTGTATAGGCCGACACATACGAGTTCAAGACGACCTATAGAAGCTTTTGCTTCAGTATAGGTCGACATATAGCTCTTACAAGCCGACTTCCACACATCAATATTAAAGCCTGTGAGCTCTGTCCATAGACCGCCTCACTCAGGCCGACCTGAACACCTTGACAGGCCGACCTATTGCTTTCATAGGCCGACATGTAACTTTCGAAAACTTAAAATATTATTTTGCATCTTATTTTTCTTGCATCCTCTTTGCCTATTTCCACACACACACACACACACACACACACACACACACACATACACACGCGCGCGCACACACACACACACACACACACACACACACACACACACACATATATATATATACTCATACATGCACCTTCTTCTAACAAGGTGCTAGTGTAAAACCTAAACGAAACCAGATTATAAAACATTCTCACCATCTTCAACCTTTTTTCTATGCATATACACAATCAAACTACAGATAATCATTTTTTGATTGGGTGGCCATCTAGATTAGGGTTGGTAACGTCCAATTAGGTTGGTGTAACCGAGAATATTGGGTTGGGATCTTTATGTGTTTCAAATAAGAAAATCAAGGTGGAGTTTTCCTTCAAGATCATTGTGATTTGAATGTTTTGGACAAGATTGCGTCAACACGGATTCGACCAAGTGAAGGTCTTGGGACATGGTGGTTTCCTTACAAGGGAGTAGCGCGAGACGGTGAATCGTGTTGGGGAATCTTGGGTTCGACAAGTGCGTGCTCGAGATAAATAGAGGATTGTAGCCGCATTGTTGGTGACTTGATCAATATTTGATCAAGGGTTTGAAGACGGTTGAATCAACAACAAATCATAGGGTTTATGGGGTTAGAGTTCTTCACCTGTTGAAAATAAATTATTTCAATCGACAACAACACTTTAAAAGATAGTTGAAAATAATTTGATTTCGATCGCACAACAATTGTCTTTGAGTACTTTTATCGCTAATAAGATTTACGAATAACTTTGCATTTGATTGATCCGTGAATTAATCGTTGTTGCACAATTTGTGTTCATTATCATTCCATAAGTTTACTTTACACATATCCGAGCTTTTCGATAGTAGATTCGATTAGACGATTCGATTCCGGTTATTTCCGCTGTGCCATGAATTTTTGAAAACAAATTTTTGTCAAGAGTTTTTTATTTTAAATTTGTGATCTATTCACCCTTATATGTTGAAATATATTATCTAACAAATATAATGATAATATTAAAATAAAATGAACTTTAAAAAAGGAGAGAAATTTGGTGAGACACGGTGAGACACGTGGCTGCACAGAACTAAAAGAGAACCGTAAAAAAATTAGATGATTTGGCATCGATCCATTTGTTCTTTTAAGTGTGTCTTAAAAATCCCATAAATGAATAACTCTTTTCCTCTTTATCCTTCCTCAAAATCATCATCTCATGCTCCAAAGAGTAAACATTATCATGCAACAAGTGACATATAATAGGAAATAAGAAATGGACACAAATCATAGTCTAAAATCACCAGCACCATACATCCTCTAGTGATTGAACATTTATAATAAACTTAGTTAAAAAAAACTGAGATTGATACTGGAATTGGATAATTTAAATTAAAAGAGACAAATTTTATAAGTGAATATAAATAAAATATCAAAGTTAATACTAAGTCTATATTTTAATATTTTAATAAATATCCAATAAAAATAAAATACAAACAAAATCGGTTACAAAAGTCAAATGTACTAAGTATATTTACTTAGAGCATCTTTAGTGAGAGTAAACTAAATGGGTAAACTAAGATACTTTTTGTGGACCCAAAGTGATTTGTAGGATTTAAAAAATTTATAGTTGATTTGATTAGTTTTTACTTTAATGGTGGTTGTCTATAAGAAACCAAAACTTGACTCCATATTTTATATTTTTTATTCAAGTTACCATTAATTTAGTTATTTTAATTAAAATACATATAATTTTTTAAATAAATTTACCTTAAAAACTTAAAAATAATATTAAATATATTTTATTATAAAATTAAAAATGATACAAAATTCACAACAATAATACATAAAAAAAATTATATTTTCATAGGAATATAATTATAATAAAGATTCGATTGGTTGGGATCCATTTGATAAATAAATAAGATTGAAAATTGAAATAAAAAAATTTAGAAGTAAAACTGTGTGTAAAAAAAATTAAAATTTCTATAGAATTTATAGAAGGTAAAAAATGATAATATGACCGTTACTATTTTCAAATATCATATCCTTGTTGAAATATTTGGAATATTTTATTAATATTAAATAATATTATAATAGGTATATCATATTCTTGTTAGAATATTTGGAATATTTTATTAATATTAAATAATATTATAATAGGTTTCACATAGTTAACGTTAACTATATAGATAATGGAAACTAAATTTTATAGATAATGGAAACTAAATTTTAGTTCATTTAGATGCCATGTCAGCTCTCCTATAATGCAAATTTCTTATTACTGACGTAAGCTATAAAGAATTTTGGTTTAACAACCCTGCGTTAAAGTTGCTCTTAGAGGGAGTACTTAATTAGACTAGATACATTTAATTAGAGAGAATATTTTTTAATTTCGGTGTAAATATTTTTGACTTTAATTTAATTTAAAGACATAATTTCTTACGTTACAAATACATACGATGATATTTATTCCCTCCAAAAAAATTTCTAGTTCTTCCGTTGAACTATTAGAGAACCCCTCTCGTTCACAATTCCCTTGTTACTTCTCTTCTGATCGGTATATTTTCATCTCAATCTCTTGCATTTCGTTTTCGTCCGTGAAGGAATTAACATTAACATGAATTCATATCTTTTATTTCATGTTGATAGGAATCAATTTAATTTATCGCAATTTCATTTATTGATTGAAAGTTTTGATGGCTCTTCCAAGTGACGATTACGATTACCTTATGAAGGTTCTTTTGATCGGCGATAGTGGTAAGTTACCACTTCTCTATCTCTTGTCTCTTGATTTTGGAATTGAATCTTTTCATTGTGTTGATTGTTCTTATCTGTTTGGATGAAAGTATGAGTGGTTATATTATATTTTATGTTGGTGGAATCTTGTATTTATAAGAGAGAACTTATTTAACTAACACGTTAAGAAACTTGGCGTCGTCTCTCTCTTTTGTGGTCCTGGAAATTTAGTTTTAAGGGTGCTCCTGACTCACCGGAACTCCCCATTGTGACAATTAGACCTAAATTTACTAAATATCAAATTGCTTTCTCAAATTGTTCCTTTTAGAGGATTGTTTAATTGGTATACAAAGTCCTTAATTTGTGTATATTAACTTTGATTGCAGGTGTTGGAAAGAGTTCCCTTCTTGTACGATTCTCTGAAGGATCTTTTAGTACTAGTTATCTTCCAACTATGGGGTGAGTTTTCATGATTTGGGTCTAGAGTTGCACAATCTAGTGTGTGAGGATTTCCCCTTAATCACAACTCACTTTTCCTGATGCAGCATTGATTTTAGAAACAGAAACATAGAGATGCATGGAAAACAGATCAAGCTCCAAATTTGGGATACTGCAGGTCAGGAGCGATTCCGAACAATTACAAGAGGTAAGATTTAAATTTCTTTGAGTGAAAGTATTTGTGAAGTACTCCTTTTGATCTTAAATATAAGCAAAAAGTCTGATATATCTGGTTTAAACTTTATTTTAAGTCGAATTTTGAGGCAAACTTTGATTTGATTTCTTTTTCTACTTCAGCTTACTATCGCGGTGCTATGGGCATATTACTAGTCTATGATGTTACAAATGAGGCTTCATTTAACAGTAAAGTTTTCATCTGTGCTTTGGTGTAAAAGTGTTGTTGTTTTTACTTCAAAAGCTTTGCCACATGGAATATTCACCCAACTTATACTAATTTCAGATATTAGGAGTTGGATGCTTAGCATTGAGCAACATGCTTCTGACAATGTCAACAAAATACTGGTTGGGAACAAAGCTGACATGGGTGACAGCAAAAGAGTATGCAAACATTGAGGAACTTCTCTGTCTCTCGAGTGTTATAAAACTTCATTTTATGTTGGTGTGGCAAACGGACATGTCCGTCCCATTTATGACTCCCCGCGAAAGCTTGCAGAAAAAGGAGGCAGAACAGGTGGAGCAGACATAGTTGAGGGCACGGGCCTAAACTTTGATCTGCCCCGCGAAAAAATGAGAGCGGTGCGGACATGCGGGCTTTGCACTCTTAAAGGGTAAAATATGTAAAAATTGTGTTAATGTCCACGCCTGCAAAAGTCCGGAAAAAAAAGGAACATGACAACAGGGACATATTAAAGGGTGCGAGCCTAAAACATTGGTCTACCCTACAAAAAAACGCAGGCAAAACGGACATGTCCGGCGTGCCAAACCCATTTTCCCACCCCGTAATTTTATGTTTCATATTCACATAACGTGAATAATTCATACTAGTATGATCATATATGTATACAAAACTAGTAACACTAACACATTCCAAATCTTCTCTTTCTCATATGTCAAATTTGATTTTATATTTGTCTCTAGGCCGTGCCTACTTCCAAGGGCCAAGCACTAGCCAACGAGTATGGAATCAAATTCTTTGAAACAGTAAGTGGTGTAAATTTGAAAATGTGGAAACTTCCTTAACTTTGCTGTTATTACTGCAAACTGAATAATATTTTGTTGCAGAGTGCAAAAACAAGTCGAAATGTGGAAAAAGCTTTCTTCTCGATTACAAGGGATATAAAACAAAGGCTTGATGACACTGACTCTATGAAAATGGTATTTAAGCTTCATCTCCCTTGAATTCATGGACAAGTTTATTGTGTTAATTAATAGCTCTTTGTCAATGAAGTTGAATGTCTGTTTATACATTGCAGCCGGCAAGAATGAGTATTAGTATCAACCAACGTGCACAAAAGTCAGCATGCTGTGGTTGAGGAGGCGAGGTAACATTGGTGTTCATGATCAAGAAAGAAGGAGAAAAATACATGTATGATGAGATTGAAGATGTTTAACCTTGCCATTCTTCTATAATTTTAAGTAGTTGGTTAATCCAAATAAAAAATGACAAGTGTTTTTTATTTGGAGAAAGTAATGACTAAGCTGTTTCTCAAAATTAGGATGGAGGTCAATATAGTTTTGTTATATTGGATAATTTATAGGGTATAGAATTTTTATTTATTTAATAAAAGACAATTTATTGATTAAGAAAAGAAAAAAAAATGGATGAGGAGAAGTAAAACCTAACAGGGAAAAGTTAAAAATATAGTTGAACATGTCTAATTTATCTCAAAAATTAAAATAGGAGGTGAGTTACACAAAATGTTATAATCGACCAAAAAATAAGCATTGAGTACTCTATCTATACACATAATTGGATTTTTATTAGTATTTGAGCTTTTTAATTTATTATTCATTTGTGATTTTATGAATTTAGTGTTTTAGAGCCTATTAAAAATTCTTTACTTTTGTCTTTTAAAAAAGATTTTCTTCTTTTAATCATGATTAAAATACACCATAATTTTTTTGGTCAAGAAATATACCATAATTTTAATAAGCTCTATAATATTTAATTTTAATTATATTACAATATTTCATTTTAATTAAAATTGACACTTTCTTAAAAAACATACGATATAATTTTAATTATCAATTTTAATAATATTACAATATTTCATTTTAATTAAAATTCATACTTTCTTAAAAAAACATACAATATTATTTTAATTATCATGAGCCCAACGTTAACTCACATCACATTCATCATGAGTATGGTGCATGACAGGCCATTTAAACATGTGTCTCAAAGGAGTGTAAAAGTTTAAAATAAAGGAAGAAGAAAAGGAAATATGTGAGACTCAAAGTGGAGTTAGGAGGAAAGAATGATGAAGTAACTTAGCGTGACAATATAAGAGTGATGAAGGGGGTTCAGAGGATTATGAAAAATGAAGGAGGTCACTTGTGATTTGGTTGTTACACTTTGTTTGGTATAAGATTATCAGATAGTTGGTTGACATACATTTCTTTCTCAAGATTTTTAGTAGTTTTTTTTATAATTTTTTTTTAAGTTTTATCTTTTTAGATGGTAGTGTAAAGTTTAGAGGGGTCTTTCTATAATCTAACATATAATTGTTTGGTTTATTTGAAAGGTTAGAAATGATGTAATGTTTTATGGGTCATCAACAAATGAGAAAGATGTGGAGGAGATAAATATTTTGTTTAACTTGAAAATGGTAACTTTTACATAATGACTTTAGAATCCTATACTTGGGATTAACCAATAATGTGTAAATTTTAGAGTGCGCAATTTAAGAAATGGGTGAATTAGATTGGCTGAATTTTTTTAGCTTTTATACAAGTTCCTTTTTTTTTTTTACTTTTTCGAAAACAAGTTAATGTTGAGAATAATAAAGTCAAGTGTGAGTTGTAGTCTCACATTGGTTATAAATGTGGATAGTTGAACATTTATAAGTGGGAGAATGCATACACCTTTCACCTTAAGATTTTGAGTAAATATGTGGTGTCTCCCTCACTTGTGTTGCTCTTGACCCAATGTTCAATGCTTGAGAAATAAACTCCTCCAATAGTTTAGTGTTGCAACTTGATTATAATAAAGTAATGCAGAAAATAAAAATTCAGAAAAGTAAATGACACAAAGATGTATACTAATTCCCCTAACAACTATGGTGGACTTTGAATCAAAACAATTCAAAGAACCTTTTTTTTACAACAATCACTAACAACTTGATGATCACAAAAATACAGATTTAGCACTTGAGTTTGTATCTCTTTTGACTTGCTTGTATTATAAGATATATGAAAGTTTTAGTTATTCTTTTTCTCTTTGATCACAATACAAACATATACACTTAAATACTCAGAAATGATATGAATGAAACTTGTTTAAATGATGTGAAAGTTTATGTACAAAGTTTCATTTGAAAATATATGAACACTTAACAACTTTGTCTGAATTGATTTGAAAACTACATTTTGAAAGAGTTGATTTTTGTTTTATTGTTGTATACACCTTATATACATCAATAGGAACCCTTTGAATGAATATCAATTTTTGATGTGCTTCCAAGAAGCAATGCAATCTTTAGAAATGAAACAGATTAATGAAAAGAGATGTTGCTTCAGTAGTAATTGGTTACCATAATGTTGTAACTGGTTACAGTTGTAACTATTAAAAGATATTTGAAATTTCCGTGGATGTAAAGGTGACTAGTTTTGGTTAACCGGTTATAGTTGTAGTTGTTTAAAAAATAAAACATAGTTATTAAAAAAATTGTGCCTGTAACTCACTACAAATTTCATGTAATCGGAATTTCATGTAATCGGTTACAGTTGTTTGAAAATGTTCAAATATAGCTTGTAACAACATAGTTTTGTTCCAAATGATTTTGAAAGATGCACAAATAATTTGAGATAAATTATGCATCTTTCAAAATCTTTCTCTTTGAACCAAACAATATACCCTTTGACATTCATACACTCTTTAGGTTAATCACCTTCTATTGGTTAATCACCTCTTTTACGGGTTAATCACTTTCTCATGGTTAAACACACATCTTTGAACCAAACCCCTTAGTGCATTACCCTATGAGCTCCGTACTCAGGAGACCTTTTCATGCATTACCCTGTGAGCTCCGTGCTTAGGCAAACCCTTTTCTTTTACTTTGCCATGTAAGCTTCGTGCTTAGGCAACTCATGCATGCCCTGTGAGCTCTGTGCTCAGGAAAATCACTCGTGCCCTGTAAGCTCTGTGCTTAAGAATATGCACACCTTGTAAGCTCCGTCCTTAGGAAAACACACATTTCTTGTAGGTATTGATCCCCTCCGGATCTAGACAAAATCCTATAATTCTTCAATGGCTAATGACTATATATTGGTTAACGCGACACTCTTTGGTTCATATGCACCTACATATGGGTTTAAACAACACAATCTCGGTCCAAACAATACTTTTACCACGCCACATTTTCAATTCAATCAAACTTTTTCCCTTTAATTCAATTCAGGCAACTCTTTCTTTTTCTTTTTATCACACAAACCTTTTTCAAATAAATTTTCTTTTATTTTCATAAAAAGGACTATTATAATATGTTCCTTAGCAGTCAGACTAAAAGTTTAGAGTGTCTGAACAATGATCAGATCAGCTAACGTTGCAACACTTATAGGATACACTTATATATGTTCTCTAAAAATAGCCAACAAACAATTATTTTCTACCACGAACTACATAGCTCTGATTTTCTCATTGCATTATGAGAATACGTGAGCACGAGGATTCAAATCCTTGGCGAGCACATTAATTAAAAACTTATTTTCTCTCCTTTCGCAAGTAACCCTTAGATAATAACACACATATGCACAAATAACAATCAAAATGGTTTCTATTTAGTACAACTGATGTGAGAGATATTAATATTTTCCCTTTGCATAAACGACTCATGTGCCAGTTTCTCTCTCTTTTGAATTTCATTGATATTTTTCGTTTCCTTTAGAATAAATAAAATTCAATGGCGGCTCTCTTAAATTTTCGAGTGTGCAATGCATTCGGGTATTTTTCGCGTCGCGACAACAATGTGTCAATATTTTGCTAGGGGTTAAAAGCCCCTGGCAAATGCATATATGTTTTGGTATTTGTGAGGGGCAAAACCCCTAGCGCAGTGTGTCAGTAATTTATTAGGGGCTAAGCTCCAAGAAAAAGCATACACGTTTTGGTACTTGTGAGGAGTTAAGCCCCTCACAATGACACTTATTATTATTTTTAATTTAATTCATATTTTCTAAATACACATATAAATATTTACTTTTATAATATTTTCTAAATACATTTATAAATACTTACAAATAATACACTTATAAATATACTTTATAAACATTAGAAATATATATTATATTTTAAACAAAAACACTTAAAAATATATAAATAGCATATATTCTATTTTTACTATTAACAATATCACACCAACAAAAATATTATCAATATATCTTAATAATATATACAATACATATTAATAGTGGATATTTATATTAACAATATAACACCAAAAACTCTTTTTTATAAATATTGTTAGATACAAATATAACAATAATGCACTTATAAATGTTTACTTTTTTATAATTGTTTTCAATTTACATTCATCTAATCATATTTTTTCTTACAAACAATGAAAGTTTCACAATATTAACAAATACGAATATTAGATACATTAAATTTTTTTATAAAAAGAGCACCTTAAATGGATGGACAAATCAAACTACTACTATACACCTTAAGTTTAGAGCTTCAGTATAGTATATGAAACATAGGAAATGAAGAATAAAAAATATGATTAGATGAATGTAAATTGAAAGCAAATATAAAATTTAATTTAAACGTAAAAGATTATCTTAAAATTGATTAGTGTTGTTGGAGGTTTGAAGAGAAAAGGCAAGAGTTGTTTAAAATTGTTCAAGATTTGAAGAGAAAGGGAAAGAGTTGCTGAAAAAATGAAGAAGAGAGAAAAACGTGTACTAAGTGTGGGGAAGTGGTTCAGTGAAAATATTTATGACATATTTTAGCTAGGGATTTTCCCTTGCAAATGAGGAAACAATAATGGTAGACTTTATTTAGGGATCGCCCCCCACAAAAGAGGAAACAGTAATAACACTTGCAGAGAATCAGTCATGTCATTGACGTGATTTGACCTCACAGTTAAACTTTAGCTAGGGGCTTCTCCTAGCAAATGGAAGTAATATTTTGCTAAGGTTTAAATCTCTCACAAATGTGAACATTTTCCTACCCAATAAAAGAGTAATGATGTCATTTCATTGTGCGATGGGTGACCATTCACAATGATCAATTTCAAAAATAAAAAATTCCCTCCATAATATTTGGGAGGGGCAGCCCCTAGCAATGTAATTTTTTTTATTTTCTGCGTTGCGA